AAAAAAAAAAAAAAAAAAAAAAAATCCCTTACATTCCTTACCTCTAACCACAGTACTTACTTTTACTCGTCTTGCGTACTCCTCTAAACTATTGCGGCTGTCAGAAGGACGTGGTATCCTAGTGTGAGAAGGCTAATCTCTGTGAAACTAATAGTTCTTATCTTAACCTATATCTTAACCTACATCATGGCTCTCCTAAACTGGCGTCCATATTATACCAAGGCTAGGTTAACAGATTGTGATGGTGATGGAACAAGTGTTATGGGTCTTCTGTCTCTTTGTGTTGAACTCTCTGTTGGGTCCCTGCGACCCTCCAGACAAGCCGTGGCGTGTTGCCTTCGATGTCTCCTAGTTTACCCTCACCCAGGCATTCTCTTTTTTTTTTTTTTTTTAACCACTAGTACCTTTCCCGCGTGGGAAAATAGGGAAAACTGGCAGTTTTCCCAAACTCCTGAATATTCGGAGGTCGGGCCCGACGACGACTGCCATTGATAAATCTGATCGGCGGCCGTCATTTCGTTTCGGCCTCTGAAAAGGTCGGACGCCTACCCGAGGCCCGCTACTTTCCCACGCGGCAAAGGTACTAGTGGTTTAAACTTCGTATGAGGGAAAACCTACGTAACGAGTTGATAAGTAGGCCCCAGCATCGAAGGCTCCATCTATTGGTGGGGAACTGCACCTGCTGGAAATCGGGTCCAGTGTCCCTGTGCAATGATGTGATGTGTATCAGCTGGAAATCAGGCATTCTCTTTTAAACTTGTCGACAATTTCCTGTTGCTTCGTGGGGTCTGTTTTGATGAGCTTCGCCGCTCTGTTCCAATCTGCTTGATATTCGGCCTGTAGGAGGTGAAGAAGAATCTGCCAAGCTTCCGGTTCAGGAACAGTCTGAGTAGTGATAGTCTCCTTACATCTTTCTCTTCTAAATTATCCAAAGTGTGAAAGGTCGAAGTCTCCGAGAAAAGGTCGTTTGCCAAGCCACAGCTGTAGGGTTGGCTCCTGTAGTCCAGTTAGTCGCGTAAGGCTGTTACCTGGTAGGGGTGTTCCTTTTCTTTTCTTTTTTTTCTTTTTTTTTTGGGGGGGTAGGGGTGTTCCTGCCAATCTGTGTCGCCTTTGAACAGGAGAGCAAGCAGTGTAGTATGTGCTCTGAGACACCTTCGTGGCAAAGAGCACAGAGGTCATCTAGTGGTTGTCTTGCCGCCTGCGAACGTCGCCTGCTTAACCACTTGTTGACGGCTAGTGAATGATAATAGATGAGCCATTGCATACTCCTGATGCGGGTGTTTCTGATTGCTAAAGGGACTTGCCACAAGATCTGAGCCCTGGCCCCTAAACCACCCGGTACATGCTTCTGCCATCTTGTTGAAAGAGTGTCATTTGTGTTGACTGCTCGTCGCCGATTGAAACTGAAACATCCTCCGCTCAACAAACTATGGCCATCTTGTTTTGAAAGAGTGTCATTTGGTTTGTAGCCAAACCGGCTTGTGTAATCAAGGATGCTGGTTCTGCGTTCCAGCCCCGATTGAGGCCAAGGATGCCGGTTCGAATCCGTGTGTTGTCATGCGGAGGGATCTGAGGCTGTACGAGTACTGATCTGTACTAAGCCCGGTAACCTGCCTGGAAATCGTACCAGGAATAGGTGGCTCGTGGTAGCTGTGGAGGGAGAAAGCCCCTTTGTGGTTAAGGGTCAAGTGCATGTGTGCGTGAATTGCCGTGTGTGGTGT